TGAAGAATAGTAACGAGGAGGGACCGCACGAGTGTATATGCACACCTTTTAACCCTTCTGTTTGACAAAAAAATATTTTCGCATAAAGGATTCCCATTGTCGGCTCACAATTTTCCACCTACATTTGGTTTTCTACACATGTACTATTCCCGATCCATCATATATTCAAATCGGAACATAGATATTAAGATTCAGCATACGCTCAAATACGAACAATCAGATTCGTTTTTATGTTTTTATAGGATGTTCCGACAATATCCATCACTACTAATTAGACTAACGATTTAAAAATGTTTTGAAAGAACCTTATTCTATTTTGAATCAGCGGTTGCGGCGTGTCGGAAATCTTCGAGACTTGGAGCAAGAGCATGCACGTGATGTTGGATTCATTTTTAGATTGTTTGTTTTCTTTTTTGGCTTTGGATTCTTTTTTACATAGTTTTGTAGTGTTGGTTCGCATCAAAAGTCTAGTAAAGTGTATAGTGGTAACACCGTAACAGTGGCTATACATTGGTGTTAACAAAAGAAAAAATAGTGACGACATTGGTCAAAAGTCAAAACATACATAATTGCATGTACGTTAAAAACTTTTCTACGTATTGAAGAATGAAGATCCCATTATATTATGCATCACTGTATTTTTGGGACTTGTGAGTGAAAATACTGATATCGTACTCTTTAGGCCTACACATTTGATATAATCTATGTTTCTCGATAAATCAGTCATCATTCATCAAAAGTCATGACAACTTATGTAATATGTTCAGTTTTCTAAGTATCCGACAGATGAAAAAGCAAGGCATTAGTATAAAATGGAAAATCCACGTAAGTTTCAAGATGGTGCGGATCCTAAATTCCTTAATCTCTTATTCTTTTGCTTTTCCTTTTAACTATATGTATTTTTAAAATAATACTTCATCTATTCCAGAATGTATGATGTTTTAGATATTTCATAGATATTAAGAAAACAATGATTATTTATTTTTTGAAGTACTTTTTGTGTGTTTATTAATTTAATATTAATTTTTTATATTTTTTTACCCAAAAAGTTGTCTTGGAAATAAAAATATATTAAATATAATGTAGAAAATCAATATTTGTGGAACAAAATAAAAAACCCAAAACATCATACAATATGGAATGAAGGGAATAATTATAAACGCATGAGAAAAGACTAAAAACAGACTTTATTATCCTCTTCATATTCCAAATTTTAATTTACTACACTTGAAAACAAAGAATCGAAGAAACTACACGATCAAATATCTCACCTTCTCTAAACCGACAAATAGAAAAGAAAATAGAGCATAGTTTGGATTTGCATTATTAGTATGAATTTGACTCGATCTTAGGCTGTAGACTTTGTCATAATTATTTTCTATCTTCTTCACCTTCTTTTTTGTTTCTTTATTGTTATAGTACTGTAGTATATGTTATTTCCTCATTGCATATTCGATGTGATTGAGTTCTTCACTCATATACAATTCTATTGCGTATTGACATCTAGAGTATATATGTTTTATATAATCTGATGAAATCTAGTTATTCTATTGTTGATAGAAAGTTGATTCTTTGTTTTGTTATTTCAAATTCTATTATGGGTAACATTAAAGCACAAAGTGAATAAGATTAGACCTCTGACCTCATATGTATGATGTTTTAAAAAAAAAAAAATACTACATAAGATATATATGATCAGTTTCAAAAATATAAGTGGTAAACAAAATAATTTCATCACACAAATCAGTTATTTTTTCTTTAAAGCTGAAGTGATTATGCTGTAAACTACAAGCTTTTTTGCTCTTCTATTGTTCATATGATATGATTCATGAATCAAGACCATGAGAAGTCGAAGGCATGGTCTGCGTATTTCTAAAATACCATAAAGTTTCATTTACACTATTCCAAAGTTAATTGAAGATCTTTCTAGGGACAAATGCTTAGGAGAAAAAAAGAGAGTAAATTAATGATTGGTTATACTTGACCAACTTAAACTTATTCAGAAGCTATACCATTCAAAAGTTTCAAACCAAAGACATAAATCATTAATTAATTAAGCATTTCTATGAATGCATTACATCAATTTTATATATTAATGTCGTCATCATGTGTATATATAACTTAAATATCAACCCTAGCTCAAATGTTTGATACTAGAGGGAAAAATGAAAATGGCAACCCACAAAAGGAGGAAACTAAAGAAAGACCAGACGAGGAAACAAAAAAAAAAAAATTGTAAGGTAAAAACTCTAAGTCGAAACGCGGTCGCGGTCGCGGTTACGCTCACGCCCGCATACTAACATGGCGATACAACGGCCAAGGATGTAAAACTTAGCTCGCTGTTTCTTCACCATGTGGCTACACTTCTCTCCAAACCTCTTGCACGGCTTGCATGTCCCGCTCGTGCTGTTCTCTTCTTTCATTGCTTAAGTTTCTCTTACTTGATGATCCCAACACTATAAGGAATAATATATATTGTCTTCTTTGTCGGAAAATGGAAAAGTTTTGTTCTGGTTTCTGCTTCTGAAACTTTGTAGTAAAGATGTGAAGAGAAGGGAGAAAGAGGGAGAGTTTGGTCAATATATGGAGGGAGCCAAGCCTATAAATTAGAAAGAGGGGTCATTTGGCTTTGGTACGATAAATGATTGATATGTGACATGTTTTTGTTTTCTAGAAATACGTAGCATTAATGCATTTTAGAAATAAATAAAATTAATTTCATGTGTTATGTGGTTTTGGCTCTACAGGGAAATGTTTCAAGTTTTTTTTTTTATAAGAGACTCCTATATATGTGGAGTGAAGTTGTAGAAATAAAGTAGAATTAATAATGTTTGTTATATTTTTTATTGATAAATATGTACCAGTATTAAGATATGTCACATGTAATGAATTCTAGAGATATAGAGTAGTGTGAGTACGTAAGTTTAAGAACTTGATTACATATATAGTAAGGCTTAAAGAAAATACACATGAAGAATTGATAAATCTTGCCAATTCACGAAATAACTTTGATAAAAAAAAAAATTAAAAAATGAATCACAAATATCGGTGTTACATAATTTGTCTCATCTTATTTTTACGATACTGAGAGCATTAAGAATTCTTAAAAAAAGTATTTTATTATAATTTAAGATATATAATTAAATTTTAATATTTAAAAGAAATTATACCAAAACAAGAAAATTATATAAATAAGTTTTTTTAAAAGTTTAAAATCAGTTTTTATTTAAGAGATTTTAAAACTTTTTCTCTCATGTTTTTTTTTAACACTAATTTATTAATCTATGGTAAACTATGAGATCTGTTACATCAACGATTTTACAACTGTCAATTCTACCGTCTTATGAAGATCCATGACTAACGGCTTTACCTGCATCTTGCATCACACTTACCATCATCATATGAAGATCTACGTCTGACGATTCTGCTTGCATCACGCTGAAAATCTCTTGTAAGCTTGCTTCTATTAATTTACATCATTCTTCATTAATCTGCATAATTAAGAATAAATCGCACTCTCTAGAATTTAAAATCCAAACTTCCTAGTATAGAAATATAATAAATTTTTATTAAATTATTGGAGTAAGGAAGCTTCCACATTCTCTCATGTTTATTCTAACTTTTTATCTTTTTCTTTTTTTAATACTAAGATACTTTCTTTAAGAAACCCATTGCACATGGTCTAAAAAACATGATTTATACCACTTTAGAGATATGATACTCTTAAGAACTGGTTTTGGGTTATAAAAAAAAATATCAACTTCATGATTAACAAAAGTACTAGTTTTTGATTTTCCTAAAGGTAATTGTGTGAACTGAGTAAGGCTAACATTGCTGACTAGATATTTAAAGAATTATACAAAAAGTTTGAGCTGTAAACATATAAGTAGCATATTCAATTCCGCCTCATATTTTACAAACTAGCATGTGTGCAATTTTAAGAGATATAACCATATACAGAGTGGACTAGGACCCGATGTTCTTCTCTATTTAATATTCACTTTATTCTTAGTCAAACATTTAATTTAATTTTTGACGTACTTATTGGTAGATCTTTGGTGAACATCTGAAATGTGAATGGTCGGTCTGCGTAGACCAGACCCCACCTTTGGTATTTCTGGTCATCGTGTGGCAGCTCATTGGGTTCGTAGTTCGTACGACATCAAACCACACTTTTTTTGAAGTTTACGTATCAAAAATTGATTGTACTCTTCCTTCACACACCACACATGAGACCCTATTGAAGTAACAACACTTCGAATCCTTGTTTCCATCTTTTTGCTTGTGTTGTCATATAATACTAACTGTAACCCAAAGATTTCAAAAAAATTTGGGGACAACATTTATTTTTGGTCAATTTTTTTTTGTCTTGGCCTCCCATGTTGAAAGGGATGCAGATAATCAAATATATGCTAACTAAGAAGGTAAAGAAAGAATATGAATATGTGAAACAAAATATATCTTTGATTGGTGTTTTGTTTGTAAAACAATTACGTATGATATTCGTAAATCGTAAGTATAAATCCAAATCTAAAAATTGTTAGAGCAACCAGAAAGGAGGTCTATAGTCTCAAGAACAACGATACTTTTTTTACGACGATCTCAGTGCAATTACTCAAGTCCGTAACCGGTTCCGGTTAAATAGCTGAAGAAAATGAGTATATTCCAAAAATAGATTTATTGGTTTGGTGTCGAGTGTAGATCAGTTCTAGACTTCTAGTATGAATTTCTCAATACGTATTTAGTGGGTGGAGTCAACTTAAAATGTGAAATATCATTCGAATGTTATGAGAAATTTTGTCATGTTTGAAGAACTTTGAAAGACGTTGTGAGAAATTAGTTATACTCAGCGGTTATGTTGAGATGAGTGAGTATCCGGTTTAATTGATTTCGGTCCGTGAAGTTTACTGAAGGAATCCGGTTTAATTTTAGGAAGCTTATCGGACCGAAATCAACTTTTTTTGGGTTAACCTACGGACCGAAATCAATTAAACCCACAAAAATGGTCTCTTGGATTCTCCTCCATTCCCTTCCTTTCTTCTCCGTCAATTTAAGCTTTCCGACATCGAAACACTGAAGCGTTTTAGCGGTTCTTGTCGGAATGTGACGAGGAGGAGTTTCTCCGTTCAATTGCTGGGCTTGACAAGAGAGAAAGAGAAAAGATTTGTGCTGCGTCAATGGAGAATGATTACGCCACGAGGCTCATTGAAGTTAGCCTGCTTGTATTCTTCACCAATCGCACCGGTAACGAAAATTCATTGAATGCATTTGCATAATTTGCATTCATAGTTTGTAAGGTTGGAGAATTTGGTTACTTTGTCTGTAGTTAAAAGAGGAAAATTGTTAGAAGAATGTTACTCTCTGTCAAATATCTTTCCAAGTGAAATTTGATATTCTTGGTTAGTTGAACATCCATTGTATATCTCTTAGACTTAAAGGGAAATTAAAAAAAAAAACTAATCTTGAAGTAGCTATCATAGTTCTGCTAATTATGTTGATGGATTAGAGCTTCTACAGAAAACACTAAGGAAAAGATCCTTGTTTTAACATTCATCACATAAGCATACATACAACCACAATATACTCTTATCAAAAACATATATACTTAAGAGAGACATCATCACCAAAAAACACAAAACGTAATCACAATGGTTACACATATACACACATACATGTCTTAGGAGCTTCCTTTGTCTCAGTCATGTCTCGCCTTTTGTGTTTCTGGTGCTAACCGGTTCCATCGTCTCCCCCATTGTCTCCTCCTTTGCCACCCCAATTGTCATAGTTTTGTCTTGGAATGTTGTGGTGATTGTCTACTCCTCTTGCTGATGGAATGACGGTTTTGTCCTTTTGAACATGGTGAAGCCTCCTCTGATCTTTGTTGTTTATCCCTCTCCCTCCTCCCTCCACAATGAAACAACTCATAATTATCACCACCAATACCACCACCACCACTACCAAGACAGGCCTTGTCTGATTTTGCATTTTTGTGTTTTGTTTTGTTTTGTTTCTTGCAATGTCTTGTCCTTTTTATAGAATTGAAGGGTAAGGTTGAGGAATATGGGGATTACTTGCAACCGTTTCCTGTGTGTTCCACTATGAAAAGACAAAACAAAAGATTGATTGATTAGGTTTTAAGTGATGGTGATTGTTTGCTATTGTTGTGGCTTATGACGATGATACAAAATTCAAAAGAATAATGTAATCACTCGTCCAAATAGGAAAGTTCCACCGGTAAGAGTGGTGGAGAAGACATAAGAATTTGTTAGTTGCCCGAATAGGAAATTTCCACCATTTATAATGGATCATCATCTATCATCTTTTTTGTATTAAACAATAATTTGCTTGTGTGATTAAAAGTCAATGGGGATGGTAACAACTTGTCAAAAGTAAAATTTTCCAAACGACCAAGATGATGCATTGATGATGTTCATTCAATTATTTCATTTTTCTTCTAAGTTCATGCAACAATTTTTAGACAACTGTCTCTTCTTCTGAATCATCTACACACACCACAAAGCAACCATTAGCATGATAGCATCGTTGTCCTACAAATGGGTCCAGAATTTGCTATGGCTAAATGATCCAATCACAAATAATTCTCACTCAACATCAAAAGATTCGGTAGAGCCAAATCACTCAAACAAAGCAACCATCATGCATTGGGCCTTCGTTGGGCTGCTCGAAGCTCATAATAGACACGATGGGTTTGCTGCTTAATTCAATAAGAAACTGAAATGAAGTGTATCTTTCAAGGAAAACCATGTGAGAGATTCTTCGTCTCTCTCAACATTTTGATTGCATTGTTTATTTGCAGAGCTTTATGCGTTTTCTTTATATTTAAAACTGATTAACAACTGATTTAATGACAAGTCGCCTAAGTCAACTGTTGTGACACTCCTTTGACTTAATTCTTCGTCCCACATTGCATCACATGCCTTGAAGCTTGAGTTCCGCAATGTCTTAACTATAAAAATGACTTTGCACCATCTCTAGATTTTGATGTGCATTTTTCCACATTTGAACTTTGCATTTTCAATGGCATCCTCAAAGTCAATGGTCTTTGGCTTAACATGGATGCTCATGATAATGATGATGATAATGCATGGATGTAGAAGCTGCACTGAAAGTGAAAGGCAGGGCTTGTTTGAGCTCAAGGCCTATTTTCTCTCCTTCAGTGATGATCTTCGCCCTGACATTCTTCGAGGATGGAGGAAGACTAGTAATCGCTCGTGTTGCAGTTGGAGAAGAATCAAATGCGACCTCAACAACAAACGAGTGATCGGACTCTCCCTTGGATCTTTATATCCTTCAGGTTATAATTCCGATACTCTTCCTCTACTGAACCTAACCTTGTTGTATCCTTTTGAAGAGCTTCAGAGTCTTAACTTGTCGCTGAGTTACTTGGGAGGCTGGTTCGACGAAAGAAAAGGTCTTTGTATAAATTTTTTTCATTCTTTCTTGCTGCGCCAAATTACTCCTCTTGGATTTGTGAAATCCATTGTTGTTTTCTACAGGTTATAAGAGCCTTGGAAGATTCAGATATCTTGAGATCGTGGATCTCAGTTACAATTATTTCAACAACAGTGTCTTTCCGTTCTTGAATGAGGTTGCATCGCTCAAGAAGTTGATTCTTGGTGGCAACTATCTTGAGGGTGGCTTTCCTGTGAATGGTTAAGTCAATGTTACTGATGCCTTGACATTGAAAGTCATTGTCACTTTGTTTCTGATGGTGTTTCTTACTTTTGGCACAGAACTGATTAATCTGAGAAATTTGGAAGTACTAGATCTAAAGCTCAACAATATCAGCGGCCATTTACCAGGACAAGGTAGTTTTTTTTTACTATGTTCCTCCATAAACACTCTACGCTCGATCTTGTAACACAATCTACATCTTTCTGACACTTTGAGAATCTTCATTTTGATCTTGCATATTTTTCTTCGTGGCAGAGCTCACTAATCTGCGAAAGCTCAAAGCTTTGGATCTAAGTGAGAATCTATTCTCCGGTTCACTGAAAACGCAAGGCAAGTAGCGACATTAAGTAGAAATCACTTGTCTCAGACTCTCAGCTTATAGTGTTATGTGTATGCCTTGATGTTTCTCTATGCACCCATCACTTCAGGAATTTGCATATTAGAGCAGTTGCAAGAGCTTCGTCTTAGTCAAAACAGATTTGCGGGTGAAATCCCTCTCTGTTTTTCGAGCTTCTCCAAACTCCGAGTTCTTGATCTTTCATCGAATCACCTAAGTGGGAAGCTTCCATCTTTCATCAGTAACTTCAAATCCATGGAGTACTTATCGCTACAAGATAACAACTTCGAAGGCTTGTTCTCCTTGGATTTGATCTCTGAATTGACAGAGCTCAAGGTTCTCAAACTCTCTTCCAGGTCAAGTAAGCTGAGAGTAGTAGAGACTAACGTTTCTTCCACTGGCCTGAAATCGCAGCTAAGGAGCCTCACATTGTCAAACTGCAACCTGGTGAAAATCCCCGATTTACTCCGGTATCAGAAGGAAATACGGTTAATAGATTTATCCAGCAATACGCTAACCGGAGTGTTTCCAACTTGGCTGATGGAGAATAACACAGAGCTTCAGGTTCTGCTTTTGCAGAACAACTCATTCAACACACTCACACTTCCAAGACTCCACACGTTGCAATTCCTCGATCTTTCAGATAACAACTTCAACGATCAACTCTCTAACGATGTCGGTTTGATACTTCCGAAGTTGAGGCATTTGAATCTCTCAAACAACGCGTTTCAAGGGAACATGCCTTCCTCTGTCTCCATGATGGTTGATATTGAGTTTATGGACCTATCATACAACAACTTCTCAGGGAGATTACCAAGAAACCTCTTCACTGGTTGCTACTCACTGAAATGGCTTAAGCTCTCTCACAACAGATTCAGCGGTCCAATTATTCGGAAATCGAGTGAAGAAACTTCGCTGATGACTTTGATCATGGACAATAACATGCTTTCAGGGAAGATCACAGACAATCTACGCAACTTGAGGCTCTTGACAGTGATAGACTTATCCAACAACTTCCTCACTGGTACGATTCCAAGATGGTTAGGAAACTTCTTCCTAGACATCCTGAGGATCTCAAATAACCGTCTACAGGGCGAAATCCCACCTTCTCTGTTCAACATTCCGTACCTCTGGCTCTTGGACCTCTCCGGAAACTTCTTATCCGGTAGCTTACCTCGCCGCTCCGACTCGGATTACGGTTATATACTGGACTTACACAACAACAATCTCACAGGTTCTGTTCCAGACACGTTGTGGAAAGGTTTGGTTTTGCTTGATCTGAGAAACAACCGACTGTCTGGGAACATCCCCCGGTTCAGGAGCACACCGAGCATCGATGTTGTTCTTTTGAGAGGGAATGACTTGTCGGGGAAGATACCCGTCGAGGTTTGCGGTTTAAGCAACGTGAGAATGTTGGACTTTGCTCACAACAGATTGAATGAGTCGATACCTTCGTGTCTCAGTAATCTATCGTTTGGTTTGGGAGGATATGGTCTTGCTGATCCAGGTTGGTACCCGGAGAACATGTTCTCGAACTTTATGGATGTATACACTGAAGTATATTACGAGTCCCTACTTGTGTCAGACCGGTTTGGTGTAGACTACTCGGTAGATTTTAGAGTCCAAGTCGAGTTTGCTGTGAAACAGAGATATGACTCGTACATGAGAGGAACTCTTGACCAGATGTTTGGCCTTGATCTATCGAGCAACGATTTAAGCGGTGAGATCCCGGAAGAGCTAGGAGATCTCAAGAGAGTACGTTCGTTGAACCTCTCGAGGAATTCGTTGTCCGGTTCTATACCGGGAAGCTTCTCCAACCTGAAAAGCATAGAAAGCTTGGATCTTTCTTACAACAAGTTACATGGAACCATTCCGTCTCAGCTCACAACGCTGCAGTCTCTTGTCGTCTTTAACGTCTCGTACAACAACCTCTCGGGTGTGATTCCGCAAGGAAGACAGTTCAACACTTTTAGTGAGAAAAGTTACTTAGGTAATCTCCTTCTATGTGGATCACCCACCAACAGAAGCTGTGGTACTACCATCAGCTTAGGAGAAGAAGATGGTGATGATGGTGATGAAGATGAAAGCCTCGATATGGTGGTGATGTGGTGGAGTGTCGGTGCGACCTATGTAATGGTTTTGATGGGTTTTTGTGTCTTTATGTGCTTTGGTTCTCCGTGGCGCCGATCATGGTTGCGCCTTGTTGATGCTTTTATCGACCGTGTAAAAGATGTACTCGGAATTATCTAAACAGGGTTCGAGAGCAGAAGGAATTTTCTTGCAACTATGAATATGCCAATCTTATTGTTTAATGTCGCCATCTCAAAATACTTTTCATGGAGATTAACACTTCTTTCAAAGATCTTTATCAAAAACAAGACCATAACGTTTCTCTGCTCAATTTTTGACAAATATTTAAAAAGAAGGCTTTCTGTCATGCAAATTTGTTTTTTTTTTCAAATTTGTTTTTTTAATTATTAAACCATTCTAAAATGGGTTTAGGAAACATGGGCTTCGACAGAGGAAACGAACAAACGTGTGATAATGGGCCCGGTGATTTGAATTGGTAATTTCTGCGTCAATGTCTTAAGAGTGTTCAGAGATAAATAAATAAAGATGCAGAGGTTATTTGTCAACATGTGTATAAATGTTAGTCCTTTCCTTTGTAAGTGTACGTATTACAAATCACATTTATCAAAATCTGAACATATTTAACAATTTTAAAGAGAAAATATTATAACATAGAGAGTACAGATTTCTTAAGACAAAAAAGCATTTTATTGAAAATAGAAAGTTCTGTTTTTCAAAAAGCAGATGAAAACTGACAACATAGGAAAAGTGTGGGTAATGTACGGACGGTCCTGGAACCGAAGACGAAAGAAAATCAGCTTTTCATTTTTACTTTGACTGGTAATTTGTGAGAATATATGGGGCCAAAGTGAAAAAAAAAACAATTTAGTAGAACTCTGTTTTCCCAAGCTTTTAAAGTTTGGTCTCTTTATAACCCCCCATTCCTCTCTCTTCTTAACACATAAACTCTCAGATATCTCTCTCTCTCTCTCTCTCAAAAATTTCTCTCAAACTGTTGAGCTAAGAGAAGCATTAGCCATGTCTGATACTGCAGGTGACGATGTCCTTCCACGTTTTTTCAAGGTCTTCCTCTCAGAAACGGCCTCTGAATCACTGGTAAAAACCTCTTTCTCTCTCTCTTTTTCCTTCATTCTTCCATAACTGTGTAGTAAGTAAAAAGTCTGCGACTTTCAGAAATCTTAAGTATTAGTTCGGCTAGTTACGGTTTAGGGATGGAATATATAGTTAATTAGCAGAAAGGAGTGTGATGGTTTTGTTTTTCATCATGTTTCCTGCATCAAATCGGTACTTAGAGAAGGATTGAAAATGATAAAAGATTCTGGATTCCTTTGTTACTCGTCATAGTTTATGTCTGCACGCTGCTTATCTTGACAAAAAGAGAGAGACTCAGATGACATTAATGCTCTTAAATCCGTGTGGTTTCTTAGTGTCTTCATGTTCTTGTCTGCTGCGAAAATTCTCAATGTGTCTTTGGCTCATACTCTGTTTAAACCAAGTCACTGTGGCTTCTTTTGATTTTGAACTGTCACCAAGTTTCTGATGTTTATTGTGCTTTTGTGTGTTTGGGATTTTCAGGGGATCCCGATGTCCTTCAACGAACATCTTGAGGATCCGTTGCCACGGACAGCGAAGCTCCAAGGCATTGGAGGAGGAACTTGGACAGTGAGCATGAAGAGAATACGCCAGTGTGCGTATTTCACATCTGGATGGTCCAAGTTTGCAGCGGACCATGATCTCCAGGACGGCGAGTTCTTGACGTTTGTCTACGACGGTCACCGTACTTTCGAAGTCAGTGTCTACGCTCGCGATGGTTGTAAGGAGATAAGAGCTGCGGTGGAGACCGTCGAGCTTTCCGACGCTGATTCTTCTTCTGAAGAAGATGAGGAAGATCCTTCTGTTGATGGTGGTGGCGACATTACCATTGGTGAAGAAGAAGAAGAAGATCCTTCACTTGTTGGTGAAGATGAAGAAGCCAGCCAGAGAATTTACGCTGTTGACAGCGAAGAGTCAGAATCTGATGCTGCAGGTAAGATAGTTTTTTCCATAATCCTTAGTAGTTATCACTGTGAATCATATACAACTAACTAATATCAAAGAATTGTTTTTGTTTCTCTTAGTTGTTGCAGGGCTCTCGAATTTGGAGGTTACAGATAATCCATCCTTCACTACCAGCCTCAAGAACCGGATCTATGAGCTGGTATAACATTCATTTACTATATTTCTTCTTCTTAAAATAAGTCTATTTTTACATGCCTTACACGTCTTGTTTATTCAGTTGATTCCAGCATACGTAATCAAAGACTATGGACTTACCTTTGGTTCAAAGATCACCTACATTGACGAAGAAGGTACCATGGAAGGAGTTAAAGGGAAATGGTCAGATGATAGGACTTGTTTCAAAGGCTGGGACAGGATTTGCAGAAGGAACAGGCTTAGACCACTAGATGAAGTCAGATGCGAGTTGCTTCATGACAAGAATGTGGTTCACTCCATCAAGATCCACGTCACTCGTGGTTAAGTTCCTCATCATCACCCCTCTCTCCATCACCATCATCGTTATCATTTAGCTTATTATTGTTTGTTTCGGACGTGTAGTAATTTTCTTCTCTGCTTTTTATATTAGTACTACTTTCTTCATCTCCAAGACATCTTATGAACTTATTGATGTTTCCTTCTGTATTTTGAATGCTTATTATCTAATGCATCCGTGACTTTTTATAAATTGTTTTGGACTTGTGAGAAATAAACCCAAACAAAGCTTTTGATATAACACATTTGATCATATTGCTTGTGTAGTGTGTCTCAGAATCACTAAACATTTGATCATTCCCTGTGTATTTCATTTCTATTGTCATTGGGGAGTTTAGATAATCAAAACAATATTCACATAACACTACAACATTCCATTGTTGGCTGAATCTGAATCATTATTGAGAGGACCAATCGATAATCTGAATCTGAATTATTATTAAACGTGTATGATTTAGTCAAATTTTTGTTTTCTGGGCCCATTTTGGGCCTAATTATACACTGAATGTTTGCTTTATATTTGCTATCTGGGCCATATTTTGGGCTAAATTCTACAATTATTGTCCTCTTTATTTTTTTCTTTGGTTTAAAAACGTTTACTGTATACTAACATAACTTATTGTTGAACGTCTGCATCTCATAATACTTTGCATGAGATGAACATTTCCTTCAAGGATCTTTACCAAAAATGTTGGTTTATCGAAAACTCTAACAAAAAACATAACATTACATTTTCATGTATCGTTTCTCTGCACGTTATTTTGATAAATAAGGTAAAAGAAACCTTAAATATATAAGATATGAAAAATAATTACAAGAAAGTATACAAAAAATAATAATAATGATAATAATTACAAGAAGCTATATTAATATGAATTCAAAGATGAATTATGTTATTGATATTTGCGTTTGTGTCTACAAACAAATTGAATTGAATATGTGACTTCTCTTGAATTTTTCATACTCAATATATATCATTTATTTTAATATTCTAAAAATCTCGATATACAATCCGACTAAAGAGTTCACCGTCGCCGTCTGTTTCCGACACAGAAAATGATACGTACATATGAAAATTATGTTAAGAGGAAAAAAATAGTAATAAAAAAATATGAATAGAATGTGGCTACTGCCTCCCAAAATGAAGCATGGGCGAGACTTAAATAGTTGGTTGGAGAATGGAATGTTGTATGATATTTGAATTAAAATTAAAAGCCAATTAATTTATATTAAAAAAGAATTTATGTGAAATTTTGTAAACTATGTACTACTTCATTTTTATGCTTTTTTTCAAATACCACATACATAATTGTTCTTATAAGGAAAGTTCTTAAACTTTTAAGAAAGGTATCCTGATTCCTGCATCATATTTATCGAATTTGACCGAAGTCACCGAACCTCGAAACCTTTTTTGTCCAATGATTATCTATTACAAAATGTTCAGTTATCCTAATCAAATTCAAAACAACATAGTTGCAAAATGATTATCATTTAGTTGATTTTGGATCATGGCATCTTTAATTTCTTATACAAAAATGAGTTGCTAATTTTTCGGTATTGAAGTGATAAAAATAATAGAGGAAAACGGGAAAAAGAATGACAGCTAAGTAACTGTGGAGAGACACATGGGAAAGTCAAATCAAATAATTGTGCTTGTAAGAAGGTATGGCTCCCTCATGAGTCATGGCATCTATGATCTATATGGCCCTTTCCCCACCCAAACTAATAAAAGTCAAAATTGTATCGATCCGTAAGAAACAAATTAACTATTTTTATTGAGTTTATTTTCTTTATAAACTATGTATCGAGTTAAAACTTAAGAGTCGTGAACATACGCAGAACATGTTATAAGTAAGAACACAAAATCCTATGATGTGATATAATGTACGTATACACTATTATACAACATCAATATTTAATCATCTACTCAAAATGCTAATTAGATACAGATTTTACATGTAAGAACACAAAATCGTTTGCTTACTATGAAATAATATTGTATTCATGACAATGATAATTACTCAACAATTATTGACATATTCAGCAGAACCTATGATTTTGTCAGATACAACAAACGAATCCCAAATTTCATCTATTAAGTGTAATGGTTATGAATGAATGAGTTTACAAAATTCATGAATCAATGAATCCCAAATTTTGCTTACGGTATGTTTGAGGTATACCGTCAAATAATAGCTAAACTACCTCTATAAAATTCATTTCTCCATCAAGATTTAGATTACAAATCAGATTTTAAATCATTTCATGAATGAGTTTTTTTTTTGTACGAACGAAGAGACTCAAAAGACACGTAATATAATTTCATGACAGCTTCACGTTCCCACAATAAATTTCATGCAGAGGAAGCCAGCCTAGTTTAGTTTAGAATGGCCCTCATTCTTATCACAAACCAGCTTGACCCGTCCCGGGTCTAACGATATATCACTTCGGTCTGGTCCAAAGACTGGTTTAAATTGATTCAAAGTACAGAAAATAATTCATAAACAAGAAATGTTAGTTTGTTCTAAAGAGCCTGCTGATATTGTTTAGCTTGTCTGGCTTTAAGACTGGCCTAAATTGTTTGAAAACAAAATCATGATAAATCTGAAACCGTACAACCACGACAAATAGCCTAGTGGCTTGTGTTAGTGTTGATGTTACATGAATTCAATTCCATGTACGTAATCCATGTTGTTAATAAAACCAAATAAAACATTTGAAACAACAACAAAATCCATATAATATTTGAACTAAAACCAGCTCAAACAATCAAACATTCATAACTTCTTCATATTTGGTCATAGTTGACACCCCCTCAAAAAAGAACATACCATAAGTTCATCTGCAAAAATGATGTGTAAAAAAGAATGATTGCTCTTTCACTTACTCATCTTTTTGGGGGGGATGAATCTGAATCCTCATGAATAATTGCTCTGCTCTGTTCTGTTTCCCAATCATATTGGACCCTGCAGAAATTGACACTTCTTTATCAGTCTACACTTGCAATCCATGCATAATAACCGTTTTACCCGATTCCCTAGAAAACAATAAATATATATTGATACTTTGTTATCGTATAGCTACATTCATAGAACCTTTAGATAAGATCATATGACTGATCATAATCAATCTTCAGATGCTGATCAACCTATGAGATTATATATCCATATATACTGGATATTGGTTTTGTATAAAGGATTTTAGTTCAAGAAGTTACTTAAACTAGAGAGCCTATATCAGATCTTCTATAATGTCTTTATAATGAAGACAATCCATGAATCATAAATTTGGGATCACGGTTTGCCCAAGAAAATTTAAACCCATCCCTCTTCTTCATATCTCTTTATCTTCTTCTGACTCTCTATTGTTTCTTTTGTGGGGTCTTGAAAGTTTTAGCCCCCATGCAATTCAGTTACAAGTTTGAAAAAAATAACATTTCTTAATTGCAATTCTAAATAATGTAGTGCATGTTCGTACAGTATCCCTGAAACTGTTTCAGTTTGATGAGTAAAATAACTGAACCGCACGGGTGATACAAAATGGCAAACAATTATCATATTTAAAGCCCTCGTGATGCATCTTATCATTTAAAAATAAAATAAAAAAACTTGCCCATCCCAAAATCAAAAACATAACATTTAATATCACCATGGACCTCAGATTTTTTTTTCTATCTAGCTCTGCATCAATCAATCATCTATATATACACTTGTCCTTCACCATTGTACTTTCATCACAAAAACATCTCTATCTCTCTAATCATCATATTCTTATTTGATCTCTCCCTTCTCTATTCAAATTTCAAAATGAAGAACAAGTTCATAAAAGCTTGCGAAAACAAACTGAAAACCATGAAGAGCAAATCCATAGTCATACCATGTTGTACATCATCTTACTGTGAGAGTTGCTGCGAGAAACTTTCTTGGGGATTCAAGAAAGAAAATGAAGCCATACCTAAAGACGTTCCAAGAGGGCATTTGGTAGTGTATGTGGGTGATGATCACAAGAGGTTTGTGATAAAGATGAATTTGCTTAAACATCCAATCTTCAAGGCATTGCTTGATCAAGCTCAAGATGCCTACGATTTCAGTTCTGACTCATCAAGACTATGGATTCCATGTGATGAAAACACTTTCCTCGATGTTGTTCGTTGCAGTGTCGCTCCTCAGCATCAAAGGTGCTGCATTGGCATGTACATGTAATGTAAGAATGGAGATATTCATTTGATTTTGATTCATCATCTCTAGTTCTATCTTTCCACAGAGAATTAATGTTAATTATTGATTTAGATAATGTTGTACACTACTTAAGTAAGTCAGAGTTTCGTATTATTGATTCTTTAAGCAAATCTAAAAATGTTTCAACACTTGCACTCGGACAAAGATTTTTTTTTCTCACACATTTCAAGACAAAACTGCAGAACATCTAAGACATGATGCTCTGTTCTGTGTCATAGAACGTACTGTGAACTCTTGTCTGATGCAGGTATTGTCAGAGAATCTCGAATTAATGTTATCAGTTTCCACTTTCCAGTCTCTATCAAATGTCTAGCCAGTAGGAATTAAGCTTGCAGCTATATTATTCTATATCATTATCAATGTCAAGTGTTATTTAGCAGAACCAAATAATTAGGAGGAGAAGTTCTAAAAATGGCCGTGAGATGCATATCATAAAGTTGCGCTCCTTTGAATCCTACGAATGCGTAACATTTGTTTAACATCTAAAAGGAGAAACTAGAACGAAAGGAGGAGACATAATGTTCAGACACAAGTACATTTTGAAGCCATACATCTCCTTTTGTCAACTTTGTCTTATCCATAAATAGCAGCAAACACAAAACTAACAAGTTAAAACGAGTTTTACACGTAATTCATTTATATATATCATACAAATTGTCACCTTTCACATTACAATCATTCACTGGTAAAACACTCAAATTCAAATATGTAAAAAATCCAAAAAAACAGCAAAAAAACAACAAAATTAAAATCGGACAAAGAAAAAAACAGAGGAATGCTCTCTTAGCAAATCGGAATCGGAGCTCCGTTCCATTCCTTGAGACAATCCATCAATGGATCAATAATTTTACCTTCGCACATCGCAGTGAAAACCTTATCAAACTCTTCTCCGGGAGACGCAACCTTTTCTCCGGTCAACAACTTCGTCCCGAGCTCCTCCCTCACGAATTTGTACAACGGATACGA